TCTCATTTGATTAATTTTAAATTAAATAACATAAAAGTTGAGTTTCGAGGAGTTCAGATCGGGATTCAATAGACAAAATAGTTTGATGCATGAACTACTAGATCAATCTATAAACTTTAGTAACTCTTGGAAATAAAAACATATAACGAAGAACTCAAAGTTTTAAATTTCTACTTCAGCGCAACTGTTTCCCAGTTTTTCAAGTCTATTCTGGATTTGCACCTTATGAGGTGATATATATTTCATTCTCGCAACTGCTGTCGTTATTTTACCAGGTTTAGGGTGCAGCACACCCGATTAAACTTCTTTTCGGTGTTGATCTGGGTGTTTTTTAGCTACTCTTGATGTCGTTTTGTTCCTAGTTTGTGCCTCTCTCCTGGCAACCTGATCTGCTTGCTCAATCTCTTTTGCAACATTCTCAACAATAATCTAAATAGTTGGAAACTAAAAGATGTTTACATACGTTACCAAATATGTATTTCCATGCATTAATACTTGGAATTGAGCATTTGCACAGAACATGGATTCTTTTTGGTTGTCTCAGGGTTTTACCCTAATTAATTTGGTGGGTGATTCCAATTTTTTTTTGTATGTACAATACCTCAAACTCGAACTTGCATAAACGATATCAAACTACTTATCACTTGAACCAATCTCGCTGTTACACAAAACATGGACTCTAGTACAAACTATAAAGCCTAGAGCTTTACAGGTTCATATATTCCAAATACACCTGCAATATGAAGCACAGAAACTCCACTATAGAATCACTTTTATCTTTGCCTTATGCGCATCTGCAAGCTGTAAAGCACAGAGCTGATTATTCGCTAGTCACGGTTCGAAACATCCTTCTCGTGCTGCAGTGGCTTCAGTCAAAGCTGAGAGTGACGGCACAATGTTTCTTGATCAAAGTCAAGTCGAGTTTATAAAATTAGAATCAATGAAATCAATTTTTTTCATCAAGTCGAATTTTGCTTACCCTTACCCGCATCTATTGTGATTAGTTGGACATCTGCTTTTTCTTACCTTAGGCCCATTAAACCCAAACGCTCTCACACATCAAGTCAATTTTAGGGTACAATAGTGGAAATTAAACCCCAATTTCCCTATACAGACCACAGGCTTGCTTGGAGTTCTCTGGTGACACCCATACAAATTATTTTAGCTTAATGTCATACATACACTATGCATTGATCATATCTGAATCTCCATCCATCGCCATTGATAGTTGGAAGAGTTAGAAATGTTTGATTCTAGTTTTGTCCATGGAAAGGACACGTGAAAGAAACTAGTACGTAGTTTGTTAAAAGTGGAACTTACATTGATTGACTATGAAAATCGAGACTTTTTGTAGTTCAAAACTATTGATAGATGATGTAGATATGTGATTTCGAATATTAAATTTATTTAATATCATCTTTTCACGTGATTATAGGGATCAAATGAGTAAAGTTTTGTGCTGATAAGAGTGATGTCTATATGTCAACTTGGCTTTTACACAATTGGTTTGTTTTTTCCCATCAATGCTCTTAGCATATGATTTGGTTTTAATTCTTCTAAAAGGGGAGAAACAATGGCTCATCCAAGGCTTGCATGCTCATTCAACCTTAATGTTATTTTTATATCAATATCCATAGACTCGACTCAAATTTTTGTTCTCTTTAAATATTTACATATATTTTAATATTTTACAACTTTAAATGTACCTCTAAAAATTTAAACGTGGAATAAACATACATAATATAAATAAAAATGAGAAAATTTTGATAGGGAAATAATGATTATAAGTTTCATTGCCCGGTCCTTATTTTATTAGCATAAAAGCCAAAATTCAAGGGTAGGGAATAGATAGAAAGTTGAAAACCAAAGGCCCTTGTAGAACCAATTCCAAAACCAATAAAATATATTACCCCGAACTTGAAAATTTGACCATTAACGTGATCGAATGAATTAAAATATTTTTTTTCTAAAATAGTAAAAATATCATCAAATTTGGGGATTAAAAGATCATTTATCTTATTTTATATCAAATATTGTTTGATTGCATAATAGATAATATTATTTTAAACCTAATTACTATTAAATCAATTACCGATTAAAACAAGATGAGGCGTTAAATTATTTAAACAAAATCCTTAAGTAAATTTAACGTCCGCGTCAATCTCGATGTTTTTTAAAAATGTATTTTTAAAAATGATTTTAAAAGCATCCTGCGTTCAACTTAATAATTAATTATCAGTGCACTTTGAATAGGTTCCACTGCCCTAATGCTCTACTTATTTTAGTTGTGTGAATATGCTTAATCGCTGTTCAAAGGTCTTAAAAATCCTTAAATGCCCCATATCTCATTACTTTGTGGTATATATATCTTACACGTACCAAATAAACAATGCTGACCAAACGCTTAAGTTTAAAGCTAATCCTGAATGGTTAACCCTAAGATGGCTATCGAGTAAGGCCGAGACTAACATCTTTGTGTCATACAAATTATGTAAATATATAATAATCATAAATTAAGATCGATTTAGCTAGTGGCAGAGACATGATCTTGTTCTGTCTAAAACAAAGTCAGCCATGTGTTCATTATGTTCTCAACTGAGATCAAGATAAAAGACAGTTGAAAACCAGTTTAGTGTCCTGTTTTTCTTTTTCTAAATATCTTCTTCTTTCTCGAAATCTTAACCACGCAATCTCTCTTGGATGCAATGAAGTCAACGTTCTTTTTTTGCTTTTCCTAGCAGCAAAGTGTTTGTTTAATGGATATGGATTTTTAGAAAGATTTACAAGTTCACGCAAATTGCAGTGCTTCGATTATAATATTTTCTTTAATTGGCCCACCAGAGTTTTCATATTTGTTGATACAAAGATGGTAGTTTTAAGGTATGTTAGATTTTATAATATGAATTCCGTTTAGATTTAATTCGAAAAATTTACGGTGTGATCAGTTTGGTTAAATAAATTGAGAGGAAAAAAAACGATTTCGACAAATAAAAATATTATTGAGATTGAGAATATTTGATATTTTTAGTATTACAGGTTTTACCTTATTTTCAATGCTGATTGCAGGTTTTCACTAGAAGTCTTTGGCCAAGTTGCTCTGATTATTTGTGACATGAAAGCACAATGGATTCGAATAGGGTTTTGTAATTGCATATGCTAATGATTTCACTTTTGAACCCTAATTAGTATTTAGACAAAACACTCGAAACTTCAAGCTATACATGCACTGTGAGACAGTCTGGACACTTCCCAAATGGGGGTTCTGCCATGGCTTCTCCTCCACAAATATCCAAATCCATGTACATTTTGATAAACAGTCCCAAATATATATGTGTCTCATTGAGACACGTGGAGCAGCATCATCGATGATGTTTACGCGGTAAACCAGGTTAATTCTATAGGAAGAACAAAAGGGGTATATACTGGTTTAGTCCTTGTGTTTACTCAATCAGATCAAATCTTGATATATTCGACATGATTAAAATATTTTATTAATTATTGGATTGTACCCATGGATTTGATTCTGGAGCCAATATGTGAAAACATTCACTTTACCAGAAGATTAGCTACAGAGAATCATCACACTTACAATATAAATATATATATGTTTGATGAAAAGTGAAAGAAGAACCACTTTCGCATGCAGTCAATCGATAGCTTTACTTTTATCTGCCTTTATTTAGGGTAAATTACGTTTTTCATCACTTAATTTGGACACATTCTTATTTTAGTCATTAATTTTAAAAAAATCATTTCAATCACTAAACTTTAGAATTACTCCTTTTTTTTTTGTCATCCGAGCATTAGGTCAGAAACAACATAGCGATGTGGCATGGTTTTTGCTGATGTGACCACACCTCAGTTTTTTTCATTTTATTATTTTTTCCAACAACTTCAAAGCTCTTAGAGTTTCATCCATCTCTCACGTTGTCATTGATACTGTCATTCTTCGACTTTTTTAACTACTTCAAACATTGATGAACTCGTATTTTTCTCCTTTATTACTCGTAAAATAACTTTGATTTACAATTCTCATTGCCTGATCATCGTAAAATCAGTACTATATTTTTTGTGTATTTTAACATCAAGAAATTAAATAAAATCTGAAAAATTTGATTAAAATTTGGAAATAAAGATTTAGGGTATTAAACAGGAGCTTCAACGCATGTCCATGTGATTGGATCAGCCGCTGAATGGTAATACTGATTGAACCATTTAATGTGCTCTCGGTGAAGCTGAAGCAAGCGATAAATATTGTAACGTGAGGTAAAAAGGTTTGAAGATATCTGTAAAGACAAAAGATATCAAACGTGAAGAAGATCTAAATAAGCAAAAGAAACAGATTTTGCATTTTTCGCATAACGAGACGCGCCGAAAGCTTTTAAAGAAACTGGAGGCGCATCTTAAGAGCGGCGGAGAGGAATAGTAATGCTTGCATGCATGCATATATATATATATGAATAAACTATAAGTTTAGTATCACAATTATCATTTTTATTCTGTTTTGGTCACCTAACTATTATTTTTTTTAAATTATATCTAACAATACATTTTAGTTTTATTTTGAATGTCATTCGTTTAAAAATTAATAGAATTACGGATGTAACATTTTTGTATTTTTTTTCAATAATAACGTGACATTATCTTATGATAACATGTCAACATCATCATCAATTTTTTAAGTGGATGACCAAAATGAAATCAAAACTAAAATTTGAACAACACAATATATTTACAATATATATACAATAATACAATTAATATTTGATGCACTAATCATATATAATTTTATGCACCGTTAATGAATTAGATGATATTACACTAATAAAAAATAAAATAAAATATTAAAATTATTGATGAAATATTATTATCTAATTCATAAATATTTACAATATCTATTTACCAAGATATACGCTCTCTCTTTCTCTCTCCCCTACATTCATATTTAAACTCTCGCCTCGAACTTGTCATGTACACCAAGCCACCAAAAAGAAAAAACCCCATTTCCTTGAGAAAAACATGGCAACAAATCAATCCACACATCAGAAGAAACCTTTCTTCTTCAACTATCTCAAATCTCTCTCTCAAACCCCTCATAGGCTCAGAAAGAGAATGCTAGCAACATGGACCCCAGACCAAGAGCTTAACCAAGTGAGGCTAAGGTCCGGTGCCGATATGAAGAGGAAACTCAAGTGGTATGATTTAGTTGCTCTCGGTCTAGGAGGAATGCTCGGCGTCGGAGTTTTCGTCACCACCGGCCATGTCGCCCGATATACCTCCGGTCCTTCTGTTTTCATTTCATATATCATTGCTGGAATATCTGCACTTTTATCTTCTTTGTGTTACACTGAATTTTCAGTCCAGATTCCCGTTGCCGGCGGTGCCTTCTGTTACCTGAGAGGGACTTTTGGTATGTATGTGTGCGTCTGTATATATTATCAAGACATCAACTTTCTCTAATTTCCATTCTTTGTAGGAGAATTTGTTGGCTATTTTGCTGGTGCAAACATACTACTGGAGTATGTATTATCAAATGCCGCAGTAGCAAGAAGCTTTACTGAGTATTTATGCTCAGCCTTTGGAGTAACTGATCCAAATTCATGGAGAATTGAAGTTCATGGATTGCCAGAAGGCTACAACAAGCTGGATTTCACTGCTGTTGCTGTTGTTGTTCTTCTAACTCTTTGCCTATGCCATAGGTTAATCTGATCCCTAGTACTTAACTATCTTTTTTTATTTGTACCTCAAAATTATGGGATTTTGAAAGTGATGGATATGTTTCCTTTTTTTTCCTGGGATTTGCAGTACAAAAGAAAGCTCGATTTTGAACCTTGTTATGACGATATTTCATGTCGTTTTCTTCGGATTCATCATAATTTCGGGTTTCTGCTACGGGAAATTTGACAACTTGGTGAAGCCAAGAGGGTTAGCTCCGGATGGTATTAGAGGTATGCTTGATGGTGCAGCCGTAGTTTACTTCAGTTACATTGGCTACGACACGGTCTCGACCTTGGCCGAAGAGATCGAAAAGCCTCGGGTAAGCCTCCCGGTTGGGATTGTCGGTTCGGTCCTCATTGTCACCGGAATTTACTGCCTCATGGCATTGGCTTTATGTATGATGGTTCCTTACCAACAGGTAACATACTCAACATATACATACATACATACGTACATAAAAACATATATGTATGCATGTATATAGTTATATAGCATTGTTTTGATATATGATCATGTGTAGATAGCGGAAACAGCATCATATTCAATGGCTTTCGGGAGAATCGGATGGAAATGGGCGGGGAATGTTGTCGGTGCCGGAGCAAGCTTGGGGATTCTAGCATCGCTCTTGGTCGCCATGTTAGGTCAGGCAAGGTACCTTTGTGTTATAGGAAGGGCCAGGCTAGTTCCATCATGGCTATCAAAAGTTCATCCTTCAACGGGCACACCGTTGAATGCCACCATCTTTTTGGGGCTTTGCACGGCATTGATATCACTCTTCACGGACATGGAAATCGTGATCGAAATCATCTCCATCGGCACATTGTTGGTGTTCTACCTGGTGGCCAACGCTCTCATTTACCGAAAATACGTGATCGTAGGCAAAAATCGACCGCTCCCTACATTGTCCTTCCTTTGCCTCCTAACGTTGACCGCGGTCGGCTTCTCGGTTTCGTGGAAAAGGAAACGGCAATGGTGGGGTTTGCCGGTATTCGGTGGGATCATGATCGTCGTTACGGCCTTGCTTCAGTACACGGTCGTCCCAAACTCTGCCCATCAGCCTAGTGAGTGGTCGGTGCCGTTGATGCCGTGGCCGGCTGCCATTTCCATTTTCCTTAATGTCTTTCTCGTTACAACACTACAGGTGCTGTCGTTCGAAAGGTTTGCAATATGGACATGTTTGATAACTGTGTTCTATGTGCTATATGGAGTTCATTCAACATTTGAAGCAGAAGAGATGGAAGTGGAAATCATGGCTGTTAATGAAGCTCCAAACCCAAGTATCCAACCAACAAAATTCGATGTTTAATTCGAGAATTCATATATTCTATATTTAAATATCATTATTTGCAAGTGTTATATTCGAATATATTTTAATTATGTGTTTATTATAATAATTAATTTATATTTTTTTATCGTATTTGAGAGAGGTAAATGACGTGCACTTTTTTTTGTTTGAGTGCAAAGAATGATTGGATTGGACCATATACCCTACAATGATATGAACACAATCTCAGCTAATATTTGTATTATGAAGGTATCATTATCTTGAAGAATATAACCATAAAGCTTGGGAAAAAAACATGAAATGACATGAACGATTATAGACAACTTATCTACCCACCCAACGACAGACGTTCAGGTAAAATGTTCACACTTCCACGTTTCAATGGCCTTCATTTAATAGCCACATCATAATCTCGAGTTATCATTTACATATATAGCATAAAATATTCAAAACATTATAATATTCATATTCGACTCTCATTTGAATTAGAATATAGATAAATACTTTGCCCCAACTACTTAGGTTATTCTATGAAAAATTAAATGAATTGAGTATTTAAATAACTATACAGTTTTCGACGACAAGAAGTGTATACTTATGTCGGTTTTAGGACAATTATACTAGAATTTAATATTTTTTATTTTATTAATTGTGTTTATTCTAAAATTCTATTTATATTTATTCTGTATAATTTTATTATTATTAATATATACGTACTTAATATCCAATCTATTTGAGTGGGATGTTATATAAAATAACATCCTTTTCAAGAATTTTCTCCTACCTTGTCTTTTGGTTGCCCATTCTTTGTTGTGTTTTTCACACGCAATTCATTGTTCTTTCGCATTAGCTCTCATTTACATGGAGAAGCCGAAGTTTTGATTTTTATCTATTGCCTTCATTGCCATCCTTGCATTTTGTAGAACATTTGAGATAAATTATTTTTATTTTATTATTTGTATGTTATATTTAAGATTATAATTATATATCTTTAATATTTAAATTTAGGGTAAACTAAATGTTTAGCACTCAAACTATCACTTTTGTTCTAATTTGGTCATCTAACTATTATTTTATTAAAAAACATACCTAATGCTACGTTTTGATTTCATTTTGACGTGATATTTTTTTTTTACTTTTTAATGAAGATTTGGTATTATCTTATGGAAACACATAAGCTTCACCGTTATACTTTTAACGGTGGGTGTCCAAAATGAAATCAAAAGGTAACGTTATATATGATTTTGAAACAAAAAATTATTGAATGATCAAAATGGAACAAACTTGACAGTTGGAGTATTAGGCGTGTAGTTTACCCTTAAATTTATATTCTCTTTAAACGTACAATATATATTTTATTATTATAAAAACTCCAATATTATCCATATGTGATGTCGGCATAATTGTTGGGCCTTGTAGAATGGATAATGAAAATGATTTTTAATTGAGCCTATTAGCTCATAATTCCTGAAAGTAAAAAGCAGCCGAAATATAAAAACAGAATCAATATGCATATTATTTCTTTTGTTATAATATTATTTCTTTTAATAATAATAAAAACGAGTATAATTTGGCAACTAAACCGTGAATAAATTGTTACTTTTCTTTTGTTATAATATTATTTATTTTAATAATTAAAAGAACTATTCATGATAAAGTCAAAGAAGATAAGTGTTGATTGGAGGAAGAATGCATGCAAGTAGGGATGGACAAAATCTTTTGACCTGAAATAAATTTCTAAAATTTTATGAGAGGTGAACTTATAAAATTATAAAAGATAAAAATATATTATTAATTAAAAATATCTAAAATATATATTAATTTTTAATTTTTAGAGGGGTGATTGCCTTTATCCGTCCCCTTCGATCAATCTCTTTGTTTGTAAGGGGCTAGGGATGGAACGAGGGCAATAATTTTTAAATTCTATTATATTTTAGATTTTTTATTTGTATTTTCTATTAATTATTTAATTTCACACTCCTAAAATTTTATAATTTCGCACCTTCTAAAATTTTAATATAATTTTTTAAGTTTATACTTTTACATAAATTTTTAAATCCGTCCTAAACGGTATAAATTTATAAATAAAAGTATTTGCAAAAATCGCTTTCAAAGGTTTGAAAAATATTATAGAAAACGATTTTTCTTTTAAGACATGGGCAGTAATTGAATGTCTTCAAGCTGAAACTTTACAAATAAATAATATTATCAAGTGCCAGACAAAATAAATAAATAATAATATTCTCACCTATGTAGCGACATATGCTGCCTAAATTTTCAACAAGAAGCTCATGTGTCTTCCTTTGAGAAAATAAAAATAGTAATAAATTAATTACTAATCCGTTGACCAATGGGAGCAGAGAAAAAGTATCATTTAGATCATAATATAATAAATAAAAATACTTCTATGATTTTTTTTTTGAAAAATAAAAGTTTAGAGTTTATTTTATCTTATTTTTCCAAATTCGTTCTAATATAACTCATTTATTTTAACTAATATTTTTATTTAAATTTGAGTGTTTTATAACTAAATCCAATCAGTTACCTATTTTATTTCAAATATAAAAAAAGGTAAGGTCGTTGAATTTTAAATATGATTGTATTGCACATCTTATTATACATGTTTTTCGAGAAGAGAGCAATAGTCTCTAAACAAATAAAATTAGAGCGATCTTTTTACTGTCGATTTCATGCCGAGAGCCTCAGTGAATGGGATAGGTAAGGTGGACATTAATAACATGATTCGTGACGAGACTCTCATGATATTAAGTGAGAAAGAATGTTACATCGTATAATATATAATTTTTTTAATTATATGAGATTAATATAATGTAATGTTTGTTTAAAACTTTTTTAATCAATTGACAACATAACTTGAATACATGATCTCTGAAAAAAAATAATATTCATTTTTATCATCAATATCGATTAAATAGTTCAAAAAAACATTAATTCTATATCGAAAAAAATCCTAAAGTTTAAACATGTATATATATATATATATAAATAAGATAATAATATGTAACAAACAATGTAACTGTAACACCTTCAAATCGATACGAGTGATCCGATCTGATCCGAAGTGTCACATTAGGCCACCGGAGCGACCTAGGCTGAAAATCTTGGAAAATTTAAAATTTTTGTTAATCCATTTAAAACTGTAAAATAATTTATAGGGAAAATACAAGTTCATAAAAATCATTTATATATTAAAAATAGTATTAAAAAATATACAGTAATAAAACAAGTTTCAAACTCGAATATAAAAACAAAATACAATCTATATGCCCCCTAATTATATGCATTGTACTCCACAAGTAACATCGGGTGAACTTCTTTACTGATGTCGATAAAAGCATAGGAATCAATCTTTTTAACCTGAAATTGTAAGTAACAGAGTGAGCTGTGAGAAGCTTAGTAATACAAAACTACCATATGAATGCAATAGGCCATCGAATATAAAGTAAAACATAAATTTTCTTAACGATACATACATCATCAGGTTCTAGCGACGAGCTCAGATTTCATCAATTATTTCTTTAGGTAACAGTCGAGAAAATAAAATCTAAAGGAAATATTTAGAGAGACAGATTAAATATATTTTTAAGACCACACTAATACCCTCCAACCGAACACCGATATTCAATTCCGCATAACTGCATCCATAAAGACTTATCCTAGGCCCATTGGGAGTAGGAGCCAACCGAATGTAGTATCTTGAGGCCTGACAGACTATCCAAGAGAGTACCTTAGGGCCTAAAAGCCTACCCAAGGGAGTACATTGGGGCCTTAGAGCCTATCCAAGGAAATGCCTTCGGGCCTCAAAGCCTTCCAAAGGTTATCTAAGATTCGTAAGGAATTACCAGTTTGATCAGAGCTGAACCTCTGTAACACCCCTGACCCGTACCCGACCTGAATACAAATTTGAGGTGTCACATTGACTTTGCAAAACTTTGACTCGTTGAAAATCCAATTAAAATTTGACTTTTTATTTTTATTTTAGTGGAGAAGCCGTCAAAACATAAGTTAAAATCAAAATTAATATTAAACAATGAAAACAAATATTTAATATATTTACATAAACCTTAATTAGTATAATTACAAAGCATATCAGAGCAACTACGATTTAAACATTTCAGTACATGCCAACAAAATTTCAAAATAACAAAATCACATACTACTAAATTCAGTCTGATCTAATCTTCTTCAAGGTATGTTGTCATGACCTATCTTTCCTCTACTGACTTCTCTGAACCTACGTGTAAAAACACTCACACGCTAAGTCATTGATTTAGTGAGGCATAAATGAGTAATATAAACATTTGCTTAAATATTTCAGAGGAAACATTAAATACGAAAAACAATATACATTTCATAACAATAACATATACTCTTTGCACTGTTTAAATCATATTATTTTGTTTAAATAGCCCAATGTATATCACTGAGAACTCAAGGTATGTGAGTACTTTGAGGTTATGCATTGTAATTGCAATCGAAAATGCCGCGTAGAATTTGCACAGAAGTGCCACGAAGAATATGCACCGAAGTGCCACATAGATTTGTCCCGAATGACCGTTTAGAACCCTCGACTCTTAACATGCCAACTATACATCTAATTCTCATAACACATACTTTGGGCTTTAACCATATAATTATTTCAATTAACATTATTCAAATTATCATTTATTCAAATAGAATATATTCACGTAGAACATATACTTATAGTAATGAAATCACAACAATACTTCTGAAATACAATTTAAGTAAAACATTATAAGAACAATTCATAAAATAATTCAAATTGTTTTTTATTGAAAACCTTCGAGGTTGGCTCATCGTAAGCCTCCTCATATCAAATATAAAAGAAGTAAGTTGAACTAACATTTGCCTCACTTAAGCTCTAAGCCAAATCCTTTTCACTCTCGTTCAATATCTTTACTACGTCTATTCGTTCGGTACTTGCTTTCGATCGAAATCTACACATTAACATGAACAAGATAAATATCGAAGCTCAATTA